GGGCGGGCGGCCGGAGGATGCCCCCGGGGACAAAGCCACCCCAGGCGCCGCGCACCGGGCGGGCGGGCGGAAAGCGCCTCGGCGCGGCGACTCTCACTTCCTACCAGGCAGGCTCCACGAGAAGGGTGGAAAATTACTCCCGCCTCGCCCCTCCGCGGGCGCTTTCCCTCGCCCCTTTCCGGGAGCTGATGGAGGTCGACCGCAGCCCAGCGCTCGGCTCACCCCCCCGCCGCCTCGGCGCCCTCGCGCCCCCGCCCGGGGTCGGCCGGACGCGGACTGCACGCGGGGCTGGCCGTTCTGGGCGTGGCCATGAGCGTGCCAACCAATGCCGCTTCTTCCTTGTTACGCGGGCCCCGCCCCCTGGCGGCGCAGTGTTTATAAGTCGGCCGCCGGGCCAGTTCGCAGTGGTGATTGAGCCGGTCTTCTCTCCAGCACCTCTCTCTTTTCTCTTTCCGCGGCGATGACTGTGAAAACCGAGGCTGCTAAGGGCACCCTCACTTACTCCAGAATGAGGGGAATGGTAGCAATTCTCATCGGTGAGTGCAGGGCTGAGACTCGACCTGTAGGCGCTAGAAGCGCAATTTTGTTGAAGGTCCCAGATCAGATTACTGGGTGTACTTTCTGATATAGTGAAGCTTCAAACGCTGACTTATTTTCTTTAATTCACAGCTTTCATGAAACAGAGGAGGATGGGTCTGAACGACTTTATTCAGAAGATTGCCAACAACTCCTATGCTTGCAAACAGTAAGTTTGGTGGATTTAGGGGAATTTTTTAAAAGGGTATAGTTTGTTAACAGGGCACACGCTCATGAATGAGTATGTTGACCGGAGAGCTGTATTAGGAAAGAGAATCTTTTTTCGTTAGATTGTATGTGTTTTGAACATTTCAAACGTCAAGGAAAACTTGATTTGGCCTTGTAAGGTACATGTTTTCCTGTTTGCCTAGTTTACATCCTCTCTCAACACAGAGCTGGCAGCGCTGTGGTTATGTGTTGGGCTGCTGCCTTTGCAAGGTCGGCTGTTCTAAGCCACCAGCTGCTCCGCGGGAGACACGGAGTTTCCTGCTCTTACAGAGCTAGTCTTGGAAACCCAGGGGCAGTTCGACTGGCCCCAACGGGGTCGCTGTGAGGTGGCCTCGACTTGCTGGCAGTTTTTCTTTTCTTTTTCTCAACGAAGAGCAGCCCTAACTTCTGTTTTAAGGGTTATTTGACTTCGCTTTTTAAAAAAAATAAACTGGGTAACTTAGTTGAATTTCTTAAACGGCCTGAATTCGCAGGGGAAAATGTAAGCCTGCAACTCACTATTGATATGAATGTGCCCCCTGGTGGCAAGTTACAGGAACCTAAACGACTTTTTTTTCCCTCCCTCTTGCAGCCCCGAAGTGCAGTCTATTTTGAAAATCTCCCAACCTCAAGAGCCAGAGCTTATGAATGCCAACCCTTCACCTCCGGTTAGTGCTCTCTCTGCTTGTGATGCACCTGGGGAGGGGAACTGTATCGTGAGTCAGATGGCATTCCTGCATCATGAGTTAAATGAGCATTTAAGAAATTAGTATCAAACCAGGAATGCTTTATTAGTTCATAGCATAACAAATGACCTCAGTATTGAGTCTGGAGAACATATTTTTTAAGAGGCATAGTTCATAAATAAAAATTGTATGTGCTTCTACTAACCTGACTGTACGGTTCCCCGTACTCTCATGCAATACTAATTTGTATGGATTTGAAAAGTAGCTTTTGAGGATGATACTTAGAGAGAGCACTACTTGGTGACTTGCCTCTGCCAATTGTGGGGGAAACAAACCTTCCTAAGACATGTGCTTGTTATAGGCAGATCTGTATTTGAAGCTTGGATATTTATTAAAAGAAAACTTTCTTTTCTAGCCCAGCCCATCTCAGCAAATCAACCTTGGCCCATCATCCAATCCTCATGCAAAACCATCAGACTTCCACTTCTTGAAAGTCATTGGGAAAGGCAGTTTTGGCAAGGTAATTTCAAGGACAAAGACACTCCCAATCATTGTCTTTCATGACTGTGATTTGGCCACTCTCCTCTCGTGCTGTGAATAACAAAATGACACTTGGATGTTGTCATTTCAGGTTCTGCTAGCGAGACACAAGGCAGAAGAAGCATTCTATGCCGTCAAGGTTTTGCAGAAGAAAGCAATCCTGAAAAAGAAGGAGGTAGGAGACAGCTCCCTGGCGTGAGCTTGGTGATGGACTCCCCGCCAGGAGTCTTTCCTTTGGGTTTTGGGTGCCAGTTTGAGAATTCCCACTCAAGTCTTAATCGTCTTTTTTTGTCTGCCCTTTAGGAGAAGCACATCATGTCAGAGCGGAATGTTCTGCTGAAGAACGTGAAACACCCTTTCCTCGTGGGTCTTCATTTTTCTTTCCAGACTGCCGACAAGCTGTATTTTGTCCTGGACTACATCAATGGTGGAGAGGTGAGCTGAGGGAAAGGGAGCTAAAGGAGAAGATCTTGTCCATCAAAGACAGTGAGGGGGCCAAAGTGATCAGAATTAGCATTTCCACTAGCCTGCCAGGCATTCAGTAGTTAATGGACTGGTGAGGGCCACTTCCTTCGGCAATTGTTCTCTTTAGCTATCTGTGTATGTTGAGACTAATTAAAGGCATTGGTAGCAGCAGGCTTTGGCAACCCAGGTGAACTTTGTTTTGTCTCCTTGTAGCTGTTCTACCACCTCCAGAGGGAGCGCTGCTTCCTGGAACCACGAGCGCGTTTCTATGCTGCTGAGATAGCCAGTGCCTTGGGTTACCTGCACTCTCTGAACATCGTTTATAGGTGAGCAGGACAACTCCTCAGGGTACCTCCCTGTGGGGGTCAGGAGAGGTGGGGATGGGGGGCAGGGGGAGGACACAGCCCTAGCCTTTGGTGAAGCCTTAAAAGAATTTGTTGATATGCAACTTGGGTCACCTAACACCGGGCTTGACTGTGGCCACTAGGGACCCAGCCAACCAGGATTGTCCCTGATCCAGAGTAGATTAGCTGAACAAGGACTCCCATTTTTGTGCACTGTACAGCCTGCGTGGATTTCACATGCTCCTAATACCCCGAGCAATTAGGTTTACAAAGGGTTTCTTATGAAGTGGAATTAATCTATTAAAATCTTGTCCCTTTTTTTGGTACAGAGACTTAAAACCAGAGAATATTTTGCTGGACTCACAGGGACACATTGTCCTGACTGACTTTGGGCTCTGCAAGGAGAACATTGAACACAACGGGACGACATCCACCTTCTGCGGCACCCCTGAGGTAGGAGCCAGGAGCCCGTCTCTCGTGCAATCACTCATGCAGATTTCCCTCAGGTTTCTGAGGGTGACTCAGTGCAAGGAGACTCTGTTGGCTGTTTTGATACAAGTTCCAAAGCCTTGTGCTGCTCTCAGGAAAATGAGCCGTTTTCGAAATCCCCAGTAAAGATTTGTGTGGCCGCCCCATAAATATCAGTACACATAGGCAGCCAGCCAGGCTCCCACAGGCCCACAGTGCTCTCATGAAGAAATCATCTAACATGCACCCTCCAGGTTGACCCCCAGGTCTCCCACCCTTTCAAAGTAATGCCTGGTCCTGGGGGGGCGGCCCCTGGCTTCAGCACTCTAACCTCCGTTCCCCTGGTCTCTTTCAGTATCTGGCTCCAGAAGTGCTTCATAAGCAGCCTTATGACAGGACCGTGGACTGGTGGTGCCTGGGGGCCGTTTTGTACGAGATGCTGTATGGCTTGGTGAGTAGTACATGGGAGCTGTGGATCCTTGCCGCCCGTACCTCCCCCCGCTACCCAGAGCACTGACTTCATACAGTCCAGGGTTCGCAGCCAGGCAGACCTAGTTGCAACCAATTCATTATACCTCAGCCTTATCAGTAACCTAACCAGAAGCCAAGAACTCAAACCAAACTATCTGCCCTTAAGGCTATTCTGACTCAGCAATCATATAGGACAGGGTAGAACTGCCCCTGGGAATTTCCGAGACTAACTCTTTATAGGCGTCAATGCTGCCCCTGGCCTTCTGCAACCCGAAAGTCTTAAAGGAGACCAATTGTTTTGGGTTTTGTTTTGTCTTTTCCCCCAATGTTTCAAAGTAAACTCTGACCTAGTGGGATTTTCATTTGTCAGTTCACATTTTACTCAAGACCAGGCTCATTTTAAGTAATGGTGACAGCCCAGGCTTGGCTAACTTAAACCCACTTTTGAGGGTTGAAAAATCCAAGAGGGGAAAAAAAAAGACCGGGTAGACTGCTCTTTTTCTCAAATCCAGCACCATAAGTATAGCTTAATCTTTTACCCTGTGGATTTCAGATGCTGTATAAAACTTTCGAAAAAGTATTAAGGATTTTTCCCTTCCCTTTTCAGCCTCCCTTTTACAGCCGAAACACTGCTGAGATGTATGACAACATTCTGAACAAGCCCCTCCAGTTGAAGCCAAATATCACGAACTCCGCGCGACACCTGCTGGAGGGCCTTCTGCAGAAGGACAGGACCAGGAGGCTGGGCGCCAAGGATGACTTTGTGAGTTGGCCTCTTTTTCCTTCCTGTTCTCGTGGGCTGTCTGGGAAGTACGCAGAGACTTTACTGCCCCGATTGAATTTCGCCTGGCTAACTTAATCTCATGTTTCTTCTCAACAGATGGAGATTAAGAATCATGTGTTCTTCTCCCTAATTAACTGGGATGATCTCACTAATAAGAAGATTACGCCCCCTTTTAACCCAAATGTGGTAAGTTACCGGTCTCCTCTAAGTAAAGTGAGGCACAAAAGACATCCCTTGTTAGATGGTGAGGGAGGTGACCACTCAGGGAATAAATTGGTATCTAGTTTAGTCTTAGATCCATTCATTTCTTGGGCTCGCGGGGAAGAACAAGGGATGTTCCCACAAAAAGCACATACATTTTGAAACAGCAGAATAGAAACTAATTTACTGCCATGGAGTTAAGTAACCACCCCACCAGAAAAAAAGTTGGCACTATTGTTACACTATATGGATTTTAAGTTTTGTAGCAGTCCCTGGGGTGGTGCAGTTTGCTCCGAACTGCTAACCTAAAGGCTGACAGTTCAAAGCCACCCAGTGGTACTAAGGAAGAAAGGTCGGTGACCTGTTCGCATAAAATGTGACAGCCAAGATAATCCTGCTGGAGCAGCTCCGCTCTGTTGTAGCACACGGGGTGACCATGAGTCGGAATCGACTTGGTGCCAACAGACGTGGATCTGGAGGGGTGGTTGGTGCTTGAAAGAGTGGAGAGTGGATTCCCCCAGAAGTATCCTTAAGATTTGAGCTCCCTTATGTAAAACCACCCTGAATCGGAATTAATGACAGCGGCTGGTCTGAGCCCGGCATGAAATCTGACCACATGTTCTCCCTTTGGCAACAGAGCGGGCCCAGCGACCTGCGGCACTTTGACCCCGAGTTCACCGAAGAGCCCGTCCCCAACTCCATCGGCAGATCCCCCGACAGCATCCTCATCACAGCCAGTGTCAAGGAAGCAGCCGAGGCGTTCCTGGGCTTCTCGTATGCACCCCCCATGGACTCTTTCCTCTGAGCAGCCCTCAGTGACTTCTGAAGGATTCTCTGTGATCCTGAAGGTTTCAGTTAGCCTCCTGGTAGAGCTGCCAGCTGACAGGCCATTTTAAAGGAGGATTTGCACATCTCTGGAAGCTGGGAGATTGGCACTGCACACTTTGCTGGAAGCTTTTCGAAGAGCACACCCTCCTTCCAGTGAGCGGAGGTTTCCATGGCCCTCTCTCTCTCCCTCTTCCTTCCAACGTGGTGCTATCTCAGAGAAGCAGTAGGGCGAGCCCCCGGGCCAGGGAGCCCCGGAGGCTTTTCAGAGGAAGGCTCTTCCGAAGGGCTGTCCGGGCCGCGATGCTGATGACTATGAAATGTGCCTTTTCTGATGAGATCATGTTAGCTCCAAAGCTTTTCCTATCACAGAGCGGTCCGGCTCCTATCTTCCCTCACGGGGTCTGCTGTACTAGCGGCGCCGTAGAGTGGTGTGCTTGTTCACAGGTAGGTTGCGTTCTAAGCATCAATGTGACACTTGCAAGACACTACAACGTGGGACATTGTTTCTTCCATATTTGGAAGCTAAATCTATGTGTAGACTGCTTTTGTTTCATTTCGTTTTTGTAAAATATACTTAAGAACTAAAATTTATGGAAACAGTCTTGCGATGACTTGTACCCAGATGCTTACAGAAAGCATTGCTGCTACGAATATTTCTATTTTCAGAAGGGTTTTTATGGACCAATGCCCAGCTGTCGGTCGAAGAGGTTGGTGTTTTCATTGTTTAAAATGTCACCTGTAAGATGGGCATTATTTATGGTTGTTTTTTTCATTCCTGATCATTGTATGTGTTGTATAAAAAAGATAGTCTGTACATTGGGTTATATAACATTAGAATATTTAAACTTACATATTTGTATTGTAATCCACTATTTTAATGTACTGTAATTAACATGGTTATAAAATGTACAATCCTCCCTCCCCAATCACACAACTTTTTTGGCGTGTGATGAACCAATTTTGGTTTGCAATAAAACCTGGAAACATATTTATAAAGTTGGTGTCATGTGCTACTTTGAGACACAGCTCGGAGACTTGGCTGGTCCCATCCCAGACCAGAGCAATAAAGACGGGGTCGAAATAAAGCGAGTCACACTACCTTTTAAAATTTTTCCTGGTGGGTAAAACATTGCATTTGCCCTATACTGGGTGCAACCATCTGATCAACAAGTTGGAGATTTTGTGAGCTGGGCCAAACTGACAGGAGGAAATGTGAGCACACACGGATGGAGATGAAGTGCTGATTGCCTTGCTCGCTCACTCACTCACCCAGAGCTACCACCAACCCTCCCTGTGTGGCTCTACAGAGAGCAGCGAAATGAGGTGCTCCTGTAGTTGGGTAAAGGGGTGTACTTGGGTCCAGTTACAATTTAATGAAACTAAGGATACTGCTGTCATTGACTGATAGTTGACTTCCAGGATCAGTGACTTCTGATTCCAGAAGAACGCACACCCAATGACATCGGTCCATGCAGTGCTGCTATATATAAGGGTTTACAAGGCTTTAACCCTTGATGTGAGCAGATAGCTCCGCCTCCTCTGAGGAGCACCAGGTGGACTTGAACCACCTGCCTTGCGGTTAACAGTCTGACAATCAGTGGAAGGTACCACTAGGGATCCTTGAAGAGGACTATAGGATGGGCCCAAATACTGCCCACGTGCCAGAACTTAACAGTGTTTTGTGGTGTTGGTCATCTGAACAAATCCTTTTCAATTTACCTATCTTCTAAGGACAGCCATGAAATAAGTAATGTTCCTTCCATCTATCCCCTGCCCTGTGAAGTTGGACAGTTTGGCTTGTCTTAAGTAACAGGTAAGTCTCAACAGATTTGAGTGCCTGGCTCTAGCCTGAGGGCTGAGATGATAGCAGTGAGCCAAGGGGACAAAACTGCCCTTTCAATGCCTTCTTGAAGGATGGGGAAAACAGATGGTTTTTAAATAAAATCAGTTTGTTTAAATGGAAATCAAGAGAGTACTCTGGACATTTAGGAGAATGTCACTAAAAAGGTTAAAAATGTTTATCATAAATAGATATGCTCCCTCAAAATTGTGTTGGTGGGGTTTTAATTAGCACCTACCAAGCTAAATGGAGTCCAGCACTGGCTGGAGAAAGAATCTCCCAGGAGCACAGCCCTACAGTAAGTACACAGCATGCCATGCCCCCAGAGGCCTCTGAGTCTGACACGTAGGAACCTTGTTTAGAGCTAGCTCATCCACTGGAATATCTACTAGCAGAGACGTTTGATAGATCCGCATCTTGAGCCAAGATTGTTTGGTTTTCAATGTTCTAAGTCTTTCTCCCAATGCCTGTCTGCCCTTTGTTGTGCTGTGGCAGCATACACCTTGTCGGGATTCTAGAAGCTGTGCCAGCAAGGTCAACCCTGATGGACCAGTTGTAGCAGAGCTTCCAGACTGACAGACTAGAAAGAAAGATTTGGTGCACTATTTCCAAAAATTCAGCTAATAAAAATCCTATGACCTACCACCAAATATTGTCCAAGGAGCCTGGAGTGCTATTGGACAGCTAACCTGAAGGTCGGTGATTCAAACCCAGCAGCCACTCACAGGGAGCAACGAGGTTTTCGGCTATTGGCTCTTATAAAGACTCATGACCTGAGAAACCCTACACAGGATCCCTACAAACCCAAATAAGAGCCCTGGTGAAACCCCACAAAGGATTGCTCTGAGCTGGAAGACCACCCCTGGGGGTATAGTGAGTTACTTATCGGACTGCTAACCATATAATGTCAGGAGTTGAAAACCACCAGCTGCTCCAAGGGAGAAAGATGAGGCTTTCTGCTTCCAGAAAGAGTGACAGTCTCAGAAACCCACAGAGGCAGTTCTACTCTGTCCTATAGGGACAGTAGGAATCGGAACTGACTGTAGGGCAGTTGAGTTTGGGATGAACCTGACTGAGTCAATGGCAGTGGATTTGGGGCAGAGTGCTGGAAGATGCATTCCCTGGGTTAGAAGGCCCTCAAGATGCACTGTTCTACAGAAACATGTCCCCCTGTCATAAAGATGGTGGAGGAATGGACAGCCTTCAGTTGGTTTTTCACTGAGTCAGCGCGGGCCCGTGCCAGCAACAAACAACAGGCTTCCAGGCACATTTCTAGCCAGTAATCAAAACTCCCCGATCACTAGACAGTTGATGACTGCTGCCTTATCCTTGCTTGCGTTCCTCACCCTTGCTGGACTCCTGCTCTGACCTTCCCATGTCCCCAGGAATTTCCTTAGGCAAAGTTGTGACCTGCTCTTCGATGGTTCACCACCTCTCAGCCCCCAAGACCGGGATGATGTTTGGAGACAGCAGGGCCCTTCTTCATTTTCCTTTTGCAGGGAAGAAATGGGTTCAAAGAAAGTAGAGGGCATTTGTTCAAACCCAAACTCCACTGTCAGGGAGTCAATCCCAGCTGTCCCAAATGGTTTCCAAGGGGGTGTTATGGGTAGTGCATTGGGCTGCTAACTGAAAGGTCGTCTGTTCAAATCCACCAGCCACTTCTTGTGAGAAAGATGTGGCAGTCTGCTTTCATAAAGATTTAGAGCGGCGGTTCTCAACCTGTGGGTCGCAACCCCTTTGGGGATTGAACAACCCTTTCACAGGGGTTGCCTGATTCATAACAGTAGCAAAATGACAGTTGTGAATTAGCAACAAAAACAATTTTATGGTTGGGGGGTCACCACAACATGAGGAACTATATTAAAGGGTCACGGCGTGAAGAAGGTTGAGAACCACTGATTTAGAGCCTCCAAAACTCCACAGAGCAGTTCTACACCATCCTATAGGATCACTGTGCATAGCAACCTACTTAGTGACTGTGGGTTTAGATTGTGATTAATCCTCACAGAATACCAGGTCTTTCTTTCGCCGAGCAGCTGGTGGGTTCACACTGCTGACCTTGTGGTTAGCAGCTGAGCACATATCCACTGTGCCACCAGGGCTTTGTTGCTCCAGGTAGGCCACCTGCCAAGCTCAGTGGTTGCGTGGCTGCTCCTCCTCAGCTAAGTTGTTGGGTGCAGGCTGGTCTACTTCAAATCATAAGTGGTTCTTTGTGACAGAGCAGAACTACCTCATAAGGTGTGTTAGATTGGAATCTTTATAAGAGGAGATCCTCACATCTGTCTGCCACAGAGTCACCTGGTGGGTTCAAACTACCAAACTTTTGGTTAGCAACCAAAGGTTCACCCATAAGCACCATTAAAACACCCGGACCAAGCCCACTGTCATCAAGTCAATTCCAACTCAGGGCAACCCGGTAGGGCAGGGGGAACTCCTCCCTAGGGTTTTCAGGGCTGTAAATCGAAGCTGTAAAGCAGAAAGCCTCCTCTTTCCCTGTTAGAGCTTAAATCCCCTGCCCAAGGCAAATGCTAGAATAAACTACAGTGACAAATAGGATTGAAAGCACAGATTTCCTGGTAAAGAAAGATGCTAGCTCATAGATTGCTGGGGGGACTGTACAATTGTACAACCACTATGGAAATCAGATGGCACTTCCTTAAACACAGGCAGAGAGAAATGCCTTATGATCCTGCCATCTCTCTGCTTGGCATATAGCCTAAAGAAATAAAGAACAAACAGGAATAGACATATGCACACGTATATTATTGCAGCAATTTCTATAATAGCAAAAAGATGGAAATAATAGAAAAAACAAAACTCTGACAAGATCGGGCATGTTCAGGGTGGTATAATGATAGGAGAATGGATCTGTGTACATATATTTATAAAATATTACAGCAGCAATGGACATTGGACCTCCAGTCAAGTACTCCCTCAATGCAAGAACACTTTGTTCTACTAACACGGCACTCTGTGATGCTCACCTTCCTGACATGATTGCTGAAGACAAAATGGGTGTATAAGCAAATGTGGTGAAGAAAGCTGATGGTACCCAGCTATCAAAAGATATACCATCTGGGGTCTTAAAGGCTTGAAAATAAACAAGCAGCCATTCAGCATGGAAGCAACAAAGCCCACATAGAAGAAGCACCCCAGCCTGTGTGATCATGAGGTATCGATGGGATCGGGTATCAGGCACCAAAGACACAAAACAAAACAAAAAACCATATCCATGTGAATGAGGGAAGGGCAGAATGGAGACCCAAAGCCCATCAGTAGTTAATTGGACACCTCCTGTCAGAAGGGCCACAAGAAAGAGAAGAACCAGTCAGGGTGCAGTATAGCACCAACGAAACACACAACTTTCCTCTAATTCTTTAATGCTGCCCCACCACCACCACCACCACCACCACCACCACCACCACAATCATCACCCCAATTCTACTTTACAAATCTGGCTAGTCCAGAACATGTATACTGTTACAGATAACAGCTCGCAACACAGGTAAATACCAGGACAGGTAAATACCTCAGGACCAATAAGGTGGTACTAGGAGGGTAAGGGAAAGGAGGGCGGAGAGTAAGGGAAACTGATCACAATAATTGACATTTGGGGCCCCTCCCAGGGGGACAGCAGCAGAAAAGTGGGCAAAGGGAGACAGCGGTTGGTTTAAGACAGGGGGGAAAATGTATAAACTATCAAGGGGACATGGGAGAGGAAGGAAAAAAAATGAGGAGCTGATACCAAGGGCCAAGTAGAAAGAAAATGTTTTGAAAAAGATGCTGACAACATATGTACAGATGTGTTTGACATAATAAATGTATGGATTGTGATAAGAGCTGTAAGAGCCCCCAATAAAATAAAATAAAATAAAAAACTACTAGAGATATTAAAATCATTGAAGATTAAAAAAACAAGTGTTACAGAAATAGTGCTTTAAAGAGAAACTCACACACACACATACACACACAAAAATCCCAAAACACTCCAACTGTAGAGGACTGGATAAGTAAACTCTGGTACATTCACACAATGGAATATCATGCATCATTAAAGACAATGATGAGTCTGTTAAATGCCTTAAGCCATGGATGAAATTAGAGAACATCATGCTTAGCAAAGGTAACCTGTCTCAGAAAGAGAAATA